TTGTTCTGGAAACTGGAAAATATTGGAGGGGTGACAGGTAAGCTTCTATCATGGATGAAAAATTTTCTGACTAATAGAAAAATGAGGGCAGTAATCAGAGACAATGTATCGGAATGGAGAAATGTCACAAGTGGAGTACCACAGGGTTCAGTTCTTGCACCAGTGATGTTTATTGTCTACATAAATGATCTACCAGTTGGTATGCAGAATTATATGAACATGTTTGCTGATGATGCTAAGATAATAGGAAGGATAAGAAACTTAGATGATTGTCATGCCCTTCAAGATGACCTGGACAAAATAAGTATATGGAGCGCCACTTGGCAAATGGAATTTAATGTTAATAAATGTCATGTTATGGAATGTGGAATAGGAGAACATAGACCCCACACAACCTATATATTATGTGAGAAATCTTTAAAGAATTCTGATAAAGAAAGAGATCTAGGAGTGGTTCTAGATAGAAAACTATCACCTGAGGACCACATAAAGAATATTGTGCAAGGAGCCTATGCTATGCTTTCTAACTTCAGAATTGCATTTAAATACATGGATGGCGATACACTAAAGAAATTGTTCACGACTTTTGTTAGGCCAAAGCTAGAATATGCAGCGGTTGTGTGGTGCCCATATCTTAAGAAGCACATCAACAAACTGGAAAAGGTGCAAAGACATGCTACTAAGTGGCTCCCAGAACTGAAGGGTAAGAGCTACGAGGAGAGATTAGAAGAATTAAACATGCCAAAACTAGAAGACAGAAGAAAAAGAGGTGATATGATCACTACATACAAAATAGTAACAGGAATTTATAAAATCGATAGGGAAGATTTCCTGAGACCTGGAACTTCAAGAACAAGAGGTCATAGATTTAAACTAGCTAAACACAGATGCCGAAGAAATATAAGAAAATTCACCTTCGCAAATAGAGTGGTAGACGGTTGGAACAAGTTAGGGGAGAAGGTGGTGGAGGCCAAGACCGTCAGTAGTTTCAAAGTGTTATATGACAAAGAGTGCTGGGAAGACGGGACACCACGAGCGTAGCTCTCATCCTGTAACTACACTTAGGTAATTACACTTAGGTAATTACACACACACACACACGCACACACACACACACACACACACACACACACACACACACACACACACACACACACACACACACACACACACACACACAGGGGCCTCGTAGCCTGGTGGATAGCGCGCGGGATTCGTAATTCTGTAGCGCGGGTTCGATTCCCGCACGAGGCAGAAACAAATGGGCAAAGTTTCTTTCACCCTCAATGCCCCTGTTACCTAGCAGTAAATAGGTACCTGGGAGTTAGTCAGCTGTCACGGGCTGCTTCCTGGTGTGTGTGTGTGTGTGTGGTGTGGGAAAAAAAAAAAAAAAAAAAAAAAAAGTAGTTAGTAAACAGTTGATTGACAGTTGAGAGGCGGGCCGAAAGAGCAAAGCTCAACCCCCGTAAAAACACAACTAGTACACAACTAGTAAACACACACACACACACACACACACACCCTGCTCGACCCACCACTGACACAAACACCACCCCCACCCCCTCCTCCCCCCCTCCCCGCGATATATATATATAGGCATGTCCCCCAAACTGGCGGGGTTGTGGCTGACATTTTTCAAAGGTGGTGTTTTTAAGGAGAAAGTGTCCTGAGGGAGGACCAGAAACTTGTATAGATAGGAAAAGTTTAAACATCCTCTTTGATGTTTTGACTGTGAACAGCTTCGGTCTAACTCGACCAGGGATTAAAAACTTATAAACTTGGCTCCGTGGATACATTCAACCACTGTCCACCCCGCTACGTCGAACCCCTGGTTAGTTCGTCTTGTACCCCGGGCTCTCCGGTGGTGCCCGGGGCTCCCCCTGGCGGGCTTTGGGTATGTGGTGGTATGGGCGTGGTGTTTGGGGCGCGGGTGAAGGGGGAGGGTGGTGGGTTATGGGGGGGTTGGGGCAGGATCCTGGGCATGGCTGGTGTGTGAGTGTGGGGGGGGGGGGGGAGGGGTAATGGGGTAGTTACGGTCATTATACCATTCCTTTGACAAGTTTGTCTCTGCACAAGTTTGTAGGACGCAAAGCCTCGGGTTATAATTACTGCAGTGTGCTCTGTGTCCACGCTCTCACTCACTCATACACTCACACACTCATACACTCACACTTACACACTCACTCACACACCTGATAAGGAAGTCATGGAGTTTCGAAGAGATGGACATCCCGGGATGTGAAGATTTCAGAGACTACATAGTCCACAGAGACTATGACAATGGGAGGACCAAGGATAATGACAGTAGTAATATACCCCCCCCCCCCTCCTCCCCCCGTTAAATGACAGAAGACCCAGACACGAGTATGACAGGAACAACGTGGCAACCATTAACATAATAGAGAGAGCGGCTTCTCTCGCCTGCAGGAAGAAATCTAATCTGTTGGTTATGGGTGACTTCAACCACGGAAAAATAGACTGGGAAAATAGAGAACACGCGGAGGGACAGAAACATGGAGAGCTAAACTATTAGACGTAGCGACAAGAAACTTTCTATGCCAACATGTCAAGGGGCCCCACAAGAGAATGAAAGAGAATGATGAACCAGCCAGACTCTATCTGCCATTCACCCTGAACGAGTCAGGCATAAGGGAAGTCAAATCAGAACCCCCCATAGACATGAGTGACCAGTGTCATAACTTTTGAGTATCTGGTGGAAGTGAAACCCATCCAAGGAATGGACCGAATAGTTAAAGGCTGGAATACCGAAGGGGAAACTTTGATGAGATTAGTCAATTTCTAACAGGAATACCATAGGAGGCATGATGGACTATATCACCCAGACGTGTCAGGAGGCAGAAAACAGGTTTATCACGGCCCAGAAAAAAAAAACAGGTAAGCAAAAGGGGGGAATCCGTGGATCACTAAGGCATGTGAGGAAGCAAGGCAGCTAAGCACAAGGGCATGGAGAAACTACAGAGATAACAGGACACCAGAGAGCAGGGAGAGATACCAGAGGGCCAGAAATGGGTACCTCTGTGTGAGGAGAGAAACAGAGGCAGTGTGAAAATGACAGCAGGTAAAGCCCAGACCCAACTAAAACTGCTGTACAGCCACATCAGGAGGAAAACAACAGTGCAAGAACAGGTGATGAAATTGAAAAAAGGGAGAGGATGGGTACACAGAGAATGACAAAGAGGTGTGTGAAGAACTCAACAAGATATTCCAGGAGGTCTTCTCAATAGAGCAAGGGGAAGTCCCTGAACTAAGAGAGGTGGCGATAAACCAAGCAGACTTGGAAGATAGTGAAATTACCAGAGATGAGGTTAGGAGATATCTGCTTGATCTAGAAGTGACTAAGGCTGTTGGACCTGATGGAATCTCACCATGGATGCTAAAGGAGGGAGCCGAAGTACTTTGCGTGCCACTATCTAAGGTCTATAACAAGTCACTGGGAATGGGAGACCTACCAGAAAATTGGAAGACAGATAACGTAGTCCCAATCTACAAAAGGGGGATAGGCAGGAGGCCCTAAACTACAGGCCGGTGTCCTTAACTTGTATACCATGCAAGGTGATGGAGAAGATCGTGAGAAAAAGCCTGGTAGCACATCTGGAGAGAAGGGACTTTGTAACACGTCACCAGCATGGGTTCAGGGAAGGCAAGTCGTGTCTCACAGGTTTAATATAATTCTATGACCAAGCAACAAGCATTAAGCAAGAAAGAGAAGGATGGGCAGACTGCATTTTCTTGGACTGTCAGAAAGCTTTTGACACAGTACCCCATAAGAGACTGTTGCATAAGTTGGAGAAACAAGCTGGAGTAAGTGGTAGGGTGCTCCAATGGATAAGGGAGTACCTAAACAACAGGAAGCAGAGAGTTACTGTGAGGGGTGAGACCTCAGACTGGCGTGATGTCACCAGCGGAGTCCCACAGGGTTCTGTACTCGGACCTATCCTGTTTCTGATATACGTGAATGATCTTCCAGAGGGTATAGACTCATTCCTCTCAATGTTTGCTGATGATGCTAAAATTATGAGAAGGATTAAGACAGAGGAGGACAGCAAGAGGCTACAGGATGACCTGGACAGACTGAAGGAATGGTCCAACAAATGGCTACTAGAGTTTAACTCGAGCAAGTGCAAAGTGATGAAGATAGGCGTAGGGAGCAGGAGGCCAAACACAAGGTACCAGCTGGGAGAGGAAATCCTTCAGGAGTCAGGAAGAGAGAAAGATCTGGGGGTTGATATCACACCAGACCTGTCCCCTGAAGCCCACATCAAAAGGATAACATCAGCGGCGTATGCAAGGCTGGTGAACATAAGAACTGCCTTCAGAAACTTGTGTAAGGAATCATTCAGAACCTTGTATACCTCATATGTCAGACCAATACTGGAATATGCGGCTCCAGCGTGGAGTCCACATCTAGTCAAACACAAAACGAAGTTAGAAAAGGTTCAGAGGTATGCCACCAGGCTAGTCCCCGAGCTGAGAGGAATGAGCTATGAGGAAAGATTACTGGAACTGAACCTCACGACACTGGAAGACAGAAGAGTTAGGGGAGACATGATCACTACCTACAAAATTCTCAGAGGAATTGACAGGGTAGATAAAGATAAACTGTTTAACACGGGTGGTACGCGAACAAGGGGACACAGGTGGAAACTGAGTACCCAAATGAGCCACAGGGACGTTAGAAAGAACTTTTTCAGTGTCAGAGTAGTTAACAGATGGAATGCATTAGGCAGTGATGTGGTGGAGGCTGACTCCATACACAGTTTCAAATGTAGATATGATAGAGCCCAGTAGGCTCAGGAATCTGTACACCAGTTGATTGACAGTTGAGAGGCGGGACCAAAGAGCCAGAGCTCAATCCCCGCAAGCACAACTAGTACAACTAGGTGAGTACACACACACACACACACACACACACACACACACACACACACACACACACACACACACACACACACACACACACCCACCCACACACCTACAGGATGGCCCAAGGCGACGCGGAGCATCCTAGGGGGGTAGAGGGTGACTCAAGGTGAGTTACCGAGTGTAAGGGTTAACTAGGGTGACCTAGAGGGACCAGCGGTCACCCAGGGTGACTTCAGGGTAATAAATATGAGAAGTAATTGAAAGAAAATGGTGCGTGGGGGTGTAATGGGGTCACTAATCTCTGGCCGGGCGGCGGTACTCTCTCCCCTCTCTCACCCCTCTCTCACACCTCTCTCACCCCCCTCTCTCACACCTCTCTCACCCCCCTCTCTCACACCTCTCTCACCCTCCCCCCCCCCTTCTCTACCATTTGCTACTCTTCCCTAAGGGGTACTCCGCCCCCCGCCGCCCCCCACCAGACGCCCGACCAGCAAACTAACAAGTCTCCGGCGGGTGTCCTTCCACTGAACATCTCTCTGGACAATATTACCATAAACATATATTGAGCCTCTTGGAGGTATTGACTGTGGTCCACACGTGTGTGTGGAGATCAAACCTGCCGGTATGGTTATGACTCGTGGCCCCTATAACATATATGGTGTGTGTGGCCTCTATAATATATATGGTGTGTAGCCCATATAACATATATGGTGTGTGGCTCCCTGTAACATGTATGGTGTGTGTGGCCTCTATAACATATATGGCGTGTGGTCCCTATAACATATATGGCGTTTGGCCCCTATAACATATATGGTGTGTGGCTCCCTGTAACATGTATGGTGTGTGTGGTCCCTATAACATATATGGCGTGTGGTCCCTATAACGTATATGGCGTTTGGCCCCTATAACATATATAACACCCTGGCCCTCGGCACACCCTGGCCCAGGCTCACCCTGGCCCTAGGCACACCCTGGCCCTGGGCTCACCCTGGCCCTGGGCTCACCCTGGCCCTGGCCCTGGCTCACCCTGGCCCTGGCTCTGGTGTCTCCTGGGTAATGCATTTTTCCGAACAGCTTCCCAGGGCATCCCTGAGGGCCCGGCCACACAAACATTATGGCCAGAATTTGAGAGCAGATTCTGCCCAGCTTATATTGTAGGATAGGGGGTTGAACACTAGGATAGGCGGGTTGAACACTAGGATAGGGGGGTTGAACACTAGGATAGGGGGTTGAACACTAGGATGGGGGTTGAACACTAGGATAGGGGGGTTGAACACTAGGATGGGGGGGGGGTTGAACACTAGGATAGGGGAGTTGAACACTAGGATAGGGGGGTTGAACACTAGGATAGGGGGGTTGAACACTAGGATAGGGGGGTTGAACACTAGGATAGGGGGGTTGAACACTAGGATAGGGGGGGTTGAACACTAGGATAGGGGGGTTGAACACTAGGATGGGGGGGTTGAACACTAGGATGGGGGGTTGAACACTAGGATAGGGGGGTTGAACACTAGGATAGGGGGGTTGAACACTAGGATAGGGGGGTTGAACACTAGGATAGGGGGGTTGAACACTAGGATAGGGGGGTTGAACACTAGGATAGGGGGGTTGAACACTAGGATAGGGGGGTTGAACACTAGGATAGGGGGGGTTGAACACTAGGATAGGGGGGTTGAACACTAGGATGGGGGGGTTGAACACTAGGATGGGGGGTTGAACACTAGGATAGGGGGGTTGAACACTAGGATAGGGGGGTTGAACACTAGGGTGAGCTGGGGGCCAAGACAGTGCCACACACCACTAGGGTGACCTGGGGACCAAGACAGTGCCACACACCACTAGGGTGACCTGGGAACCAAGACAGTGCCACACACCACTAGGGTGACCTGGGGACCAAGACAGTGCCACACACCACTAGGGTGACCTGGGGACCAAGACAGTGCCACACACCACTAGGGTGACCTGGGGACCAAGACAGTGCCACACACCACTAGGGTGACCTGGGGACCAAGACAGTGCCACACACCACTAGGGTGACCTGGGGACCAAGACAGTGCCACACACCACTAGGGTGACCTGGGGACCAAGACAGTGCCACACACCACTAGGGTGACCTGGGGGCCAAGACAGTGCCACACACCACTAGGGTGACCTGGGGACCAAGACAGTGCCACACACCACTAGGGTGACCTGGGGACCAAGACAGTGCCACACACCACTAGGGTGACCTGGGGACCAAGACAGTGCCACACACCACTAGGGTGACCTGGGGACCAAGACAGTGCCACACACCACTAGGGTGACCTGGGGACCAAGACAGTGCCACACACCACTAGGGTGACCTGGGGACCAAGACAGTGCCACACACCACTAGGGTGACCTGGGGACCAAGACAGTGCCACACACCACTAGGGTGACCTGGGGACCAAGACAGTGCCACACACCACTAGGGTGACCTGGGGACCAAGACAGTGCCACACACCACTAGGGTGACCTGGGGACCAAGACAGTGCCACACACCACTAGGGTGACCTGGGGACCAAGACAGTGCCACACACCACTAGGGTGACCTGGGGACCAAGACAGTGCCACACACCACTAGGGTGACCTGGGGACCAAGACAGTGCCACACACCACTAGGGTGACCTGGGGACCAAGACAGTGCCACACACCACTAGGGTGACCTGGGGACCAAGACAGTGCCACACACCACTAGGGTGACCTGGGGACCAAGACAGTGCCACACACCACTAGGGTGACCTGGGGACCAAGACAGTGCCACACACCACTAGGGTGACCTGGGGACCAAGACAGTGCCACACACCACTAGGGTGACCTGGGGACCAAGACAGTGCCACACACCACTAGGGTGACCTGCCACACACACCACTAGGGGACCAAGACAGTGCCACACACCACTAGGGTGACCTGGGGCCACACACCAAGACAGTGCCACACACCACTAGGGTGACCTGGGGACCAAGACAGTGCCACACACCACTAGGGTGACCTGGGGACCAAGACAGTGCCACACACCACTAGGGTGACCTGGGGACCAAGACAGTGCCACACACCACTAGGGTGACCTGGGGACCAAGACAGTGCCACACACCACTAGGGTGACCTGGGGACCAAGACAGTGACCTGGGGACCAAGACAGTGCCACACACCACTAGGGTGACCTGGGGACCAAGACAGTGCCACACACCACTAGGGTGACCTGGGGGCCAAGACAGTGCCACACACCACTAGGGTGACCTGGGGGCCAAGACAGTGCCACACACCACTAGGGTGACCTGGGGACCAAGACAGTGCCACACACCACTAGGGTGACCTGGGGACCAAGACAGTGCCACACACCACTAGGGTGACCTGGGGACCAAGACAGTGCCACACACCACTAGGGTGACCTGGGGACCAAGACAGTGCCACACACCACTAGGGTGACCTGGGGACCAAGACAGTGCCACACACCACTAGGGTGACCTGGGGACCAAGACAGTGCCACACACCACTAGGGTGACCTGGGGACCAAGACAGTGCCACACACCACTAGGGTGACCTGGGGACCAAGACAGTGCCACACACCACTAGGGTGACCTGGGGACCAAGACAGTGCCACACACCACTAGGGTGACCTGGGGACCAAGACAGTGCCACACACCACTAGGGTGACCTGGGGACGGGACTCCCAAGATGTACACAAGTGACGGGGTTTGGCCGGCTGTCAAATCGGGCAGAAACTCCTGGAAATAAACCCGATATTGAGAGCCCTGGTCTAGCCAAACCTCCCCCCCCCTCCTACCCCCCTCTTCCCAACTAACTCCTTTTTGGCTCAAATTTCCCACTCCACCTCCCCCCCCCCTGCACCTCCCCTCCTCTTCCTCCCCCCCACCCCAACTCCTCCTTCCCCCTCCCCACGCCACCCCCACCCCCCGTGTTCCTATAACCTTTTTTTATATTTTTTTATCTATACTGTGTTAGTAAGTACTTAATCCCAGGCGCTGTAAGGCTCCCCATGTCTTCTGAATGACTGTGTGGGGGGGGGGGCGCTCGGGGGCGGGGCGGGGGGGATAATTAAACACGGGTGGGACACGAACAAGGGGACACATGAGGCGACTGAGGACCCACATGAGCCACAGAGACGTTAGAAAGAACTTCTTCAGTGTCAGAGTAGTTAATAAATGGAATGCACTAGGAAGTGATGTGGTGGAGGCTGACTCCATACACAGTTTCAAGTGGAGATATGATAGAGCCCAGTAGGCTCAGGAACCTGTACACCAGTTGATTGACGGTTGAGAGGCGGGACCAAAGAGCCAGAGCTCAACCCCCGCAAGCACAATTAGGTGAGCACACACACACACACGTATGCTCGATTTTTTCCTCTCGCTCTCTCTGTCAGTTTCTGTCTCTCTCTCTCTCTCTCTCTCTCTCTCTCTCTCTCTCTCTCTCTCTCTCTCTCTCTCTCTCTCTCTCTCTCTCTCTCTCTCTCTCTCTCTCTCTCTCTCTCTCTGTCTCTCTCTCTCTGTCTCTCTCTCTCTGTCTCTCTCTCTCTCTGTCTCTCTCTCTCTCTGTCTCTCTCTCTCTCTGTCTCTCTCTCTGTCTCTCTCTCTCTCTCTCTCTCTCTCTCTCTCTCTCTCTCTCTCTCTCTCTCTCTCTCTCTCTCTCTCTCTCTCTCTCTCTCTCTCTCTCTCTCTCTCTCTCTCTCTCTCTCTCTCTCTCTCTCTCTCTCTCTCTCTCTCTCTCTCTCTCTCTCTCTCTCTCTCTCTCTCTCTCTCTCTCTCTCTCTCTCTCTCTCTCTCTCTCCCCTCAGCCTCTCCCCCTCAGCCAGCTCACTCCCCTCCCTACTGTCATTTTTACCTTGTCTTACCTTTATCCTCCTGTTACTTCCTCCCCTCTTCACACCCTCTCCCTCAATCTCTCACTCTCACTCTCTTTGATTTCTTATATTCTCTTTCATTTGTCTGTCTTTCTCTTCACTCCCTCTTCCTCCCCTCCACCACGCCCCACCACGCCCCACCACGCCCCACCACGCCCCACCACACCCCACCACTCCCCACCACTCCTCACCACGCCCCACCACGCCCCACCACTCCCCACCACTCCCCACCACTCCCCACCACTCCTCACCACGCCCCACCACGCCCCACCACGCCCCACCACTCCCCACCACTCCCCACCACTCCCCACCACGCCCCACCACGCCCCACCACTCCTCACCACGCCCCACCACGCCCCACCACGCCCCACCACTCCCCACCACTCCCCACCACTCCCCACCACTCCTCACCACGCCCCACCACGCCCCACCACGCCCCACCACTCCCCACCACTCCCCACCACTCCCCACCACTCCCCACCACTCCCACCACGCCCCACCACTCCCCACCACGCCCCACCACTCCCCACCACTCCCCACCACGCCCCACCACGCCCCACCACGCCCCACCACGCCCCACCACGCCCCACCACGCCCCACCACTCCCCACCACTCCCCCCCCCCGCCCCCCCCCCAACAGGTCCGCAGATTATAAAAGACATCTGAAGCTGACGCCACTAATTACTGCCCATATTTTTGTTTGTTGGTTTGTTAAGTCTGTGTGTGTGTGTGTGTGTGTGTGTGTGTGTGTGTGTGTGTGTGTGTGTGTGTGTGTGTGTGTGTGTGTGGTGTGTGTGTGTGTGTGTGTGTGTGTGGTGTGTGTGTGTGTGTGTGTGTGTGTGTGTGTGTGTGTGTGTGTGTGTGTGTGTGTGTGTGTGTGTGTGTGGTGTGTGTGTGTGTGTGTGTGTGTGTGTGTGTGTGTGTGTGTGTGTGTGTGTGTGTGTGTGTGTGTGTGTGTGTGTGTGTGTGTGTGTGTGTGTGTGTGTGTGTGTGTGTGTGTGTGTGTGTGTGTGTGTGTGTGTGTGTGTGTGTGTGTGTGTGTGTGTGTCACGCTCTCTCATTCTCTGTCTGGTTCTGTGTCTGTTCATGTCTGTTGTACACAAAGTTGGTACAAGAGTAGTCGACTGTGTCTACCAAGTAGAGTCCCCGTCTTCCCCCCCCCTCCCCCCCACCCGTCCCATAACTCATCTTAAGACGGGGGTAGACTCTCCATGCTAGTTTTCACTGGCACACAATCCGCCAGTCGGTTTACAACCCCCCCCCCTCCCCCTCCCCCCCCCCCCCCACCCCCCCACCCCCCCACCCCCCCCCACCCCCCTTCCCCCCCCCCCCCCCCCCCCCCTCCCCCCCTCCCCCCCTTCCCCCCCCCCCCCCCCCCTCCCCCCCTCCCCCCTCCCCCCCTCCCCCCCCTCCCCCCCTATACTCCTGGTTAACAGTGCGAGCAGTTTGGCATCGGTGCCACGTCGACGGCCGGGGTTCGAACCCAGCCCTTGTCCTAAAAGCCTAAAAGTCCTAAAAGCCTAAAAGTCCCAAAGGCCTTGAAGCCAACATATAGCTCCGTCCGTCGAATTAGCGTAACGTCCCTCAAAAATTGGGAAAATATAGAATATATTAAACTTTTCCTCGCATACGTCGTGAAAATGACGTATAGATTCGCTCCATAGATTCCTAAATGCTCTCCCTATGACTGCCACTGTCGTATGTGCTGTTGGTGATATATTGACGCCTGTGTATGTTTTTTGGGGGGGGGGGGTTTCTACCACAGACGTGGCCGGACATTTACAATGCTAACCAGCATATATACATTTTCTTCTGTCCTCCATGGACAGGGTGAGAGATGTGTTAAACATATAGTTCAAAGGTTTATTGAACAATCAACCACAGGTTATTGTAGTGCTTTTAAAACGCTACAGACATACAGTCTTCGCTGCTTCAAGGAGTCGTTTTCCTGTCATTTCATAGGTATAAACAGAACCTCCCGAGACCTTCCAAATTGTGCATCACCTTGCATTTCTCCGGGTTGAAGTCAAGTAGCCACTTTCCCGATAATCTCTGAGGATTATCCAGGAATCCCCTGGGCACCTTGCTACACCTGCCAGCAAGATACACCTGGAAGAGGCCGCTCTTACACCTCTTCTACACCCCAAGAAAGGTGCCAGTTACACCCACCAGGACCGAGGACACATCGTTACAAGCACTCGCTCAAGCACAAGCTACACTCCGTCTCTCATCTTCGTTTTTACACCTTTTTTTCGCTCATTAGTGAAGGGCCAAAGTTATGACTCACTGAAGAGACATGGAAAAATGTGGAGACATTTTAGAACAATATTACAAAGACAATATTTGTGTGAGGACAATACTATCGTTATTTGTGCGTGTGTGCGTGTGTGTGTGTGTGTGTGTGTGTGTGTGTGTGTGTGTGTGTGTGTGTGTGTGTGTGTGTGTGTGTGTGTGTGTTTGTGTGTGTGTGTGTGTGTGGGTGTGGGTGTGTGTGTGTGTGTGTGTGTATGACCACAACAGTGTGGGTCCCATGACCGCCACAACAGCCTGTTGGACCAAGTTATCAGAAGGGACCAGGCTTGTGGAGTAGAGGAACTCTAGAAATCCTCTCCAGGTATACTACAGGTATACTACAGGTATACTCTCAGAACGTCTTCCCTACCGTCTGTAGTCCAATAGTTCTGGCCATATTTTAGGCCGCCACTGTTCCACCTGCCAGTGTTCCTCCTGCCACTGTTCCACCTGCCAGTGTTCCACCTACCACTGTTCCACCTGCCAGTGTTCCACCTGCCACTGTTCCACCTACCAGTGTTCCACCTGCCAGTGTTACACCTGCCACTGTTCCACCTACCAGTGTTCCACCTGCCAGTGTTACACCTGCCACTGTTCCACCTGCCAGTGTTCCTCCTGCCAGTGTTCCACCTACCAGTGTTCCACCTGCCAGTGTTCCTCCTGTCAGTGTTCCACCTGCCAATGTTCCACCTGCCAGTGTTACACCTGCTACTGTTCCACCTGCCACTGTTCCACCTGTCAGTGTTCCTCCTGCCACTGTTCCACCTGCCAGTGTTCCACCTACCACTGTTCCACCTGCCCGTGTTACACCTGCCACTGTTACACCTGCCACTGTTCCACCTACCAGTGTTCCACCTGCCACTGTTCCACCTGCCACTGTTCCACCTGCCACTGTTCCACGTGCCACTGTTCCACCTGCCAGTGTTCCTCCTGTCAGTGTTCCTCCTGCCACTGTTCCACCTGCCACTGTTCCACGTGCCACTGTTCCACATGCCAGTGTTCCACCTGCCAGTGTTCCACCTGCCAATGTTCCACCTGCCAATGTTCCTTCTGCCAGTGTTCCACCTGCCAGTGTTCCACCTGCCAGTGTTCCTCCTGCCAGTGTTCCACCTGCCAGTGTTCCTTCTGCCACTGTTCCACCTGCCAGTGTTCCACCTGCCAGTGTTCCACCTGCCACTGTTCCACCTGCCAGTGTTCCACCTGCCAGTGTTCCTCCTGCCGCTGTTCCACCTGCCACTGTTCCACCTGCCAGTGTTCCACCTGCCAATGTTCCACCTGCCACTGTTCCACATGCCACTGTTCCACATGCCAGTGTTCCACCTGCCAGTGTTCCACCTGCCAGTGTTCCACCTGCCACTGTTCCACCTGCCAGTGTTCCTTCTGCCAGTGTTCCACCTGCCAGTGTTCCACCTGCCAGTGTTCCTCCAGCCAGTGTTCCACCTGCCAGTGTTCCTTCTGCCAGTGTTCCACCTGCCAGTGTTCCACCTGCCACTGTTCCACCTGCCAGTGTTCCACCTGCCAATGTTCCACCTGCCAGTGTTCCACCTGCCACTGTTCCACATGCCAGTGTTCCTTCTGCTAGTGTTCCACCTGCCAGTGTTCCACCTGCCAATGTTCCACCTGCCAGTGTTCCACCTGCCACTGTTCCACATGCCAGTGTTCCACCTGCCAGTGTTCCACCTGCCAGTGTTCCACCTGCCACTGTTCCACCTGCCAGTGTTCCTTCTGCCAGTGTTCCACCTGCCAATGTTCCACCTGCCAGTGTTCCACCTGTCAGTGTTCCTTCTGCCACTGTTCCACCTGCCAGTGTTCCACCTGCCAATGTTCCTTCTGCCAGTGTTCCACCTGCCAGTGTTCCTTCTGTCAATATTCCACCTGCCACTGTTCCACCTGCCACTGTTCCACCTGCCACTGTTCCACCTGCCAGTGTTCCACCTGCCAGTGTTCCACCTGCCAGTGTTCCACCTGCCACTGTTCCACCTGCCAGTGTTCCTTCTGCCAGTGTTCCACCTGCCAATGTTCCACCTGCCAGTGTTCCACCTGCCAGTGTTCCTTCTGCCACTGTTCCACCTGCCAGTGTTCCACCTGCCAATGTTCCACCTGCCAATGTTCCTTCTGCCAGTGTTCCACCTGCCAGTGTTCCTTCTGTCAATATTGCACCTGCCACTGTTCCACCTGCCACTGTTCCACCTGCCAGTGTTCCACCTACCAGTGTTCCACCTGCCACTGTTCCACCTGCCACTGTTCCACCTGCCACTGTTCCACCTGCCACTGTTCCACCTACCTTTCACCTGTTTCCCTCACAAATTGGACTCTCGTCTTGAGTGACAGTCGTGATTCTTTCCCGTGTAGAGGCCAGCACTTTGTGAAACACGACCCCGAAACACAGTGTTGGCGGCCGTGGCCCCGGTGGTGGCCCAGGCGGTGGCCCAGGTGGTGGCCCCGGTGGTGGCCCAGGTGGTGGCCCCGGTGGTGGCCCCCGGTGGTGGCCCCGGTGGTGGCCCCGGTGGTGGCCCCGGTGGTGGCCCCCGGTGGTGGCCCCGGTGGTGGCTTTCAGGGTCCCCTCCCACCCTAGTAAAGGGCTCCCGGGGGCCCCTGGCCGTCCCAGAAGAGGGGGTGCAGGAGGAGCTGCCAACTCCAGTAGTGGCTGTAGGGTGATCTGCACTACCACAGGAGAATACGTTCTTGGGAGATGGTGACCATTAGATCTGTGGCTCTCTGGCTCCCTCAGAACCCCATCTGTGGCTCTCTGGGTCCATTAGAACCCCATCTGTGGCTCTCTGGGTCCCTCAGAACACCATCTGTGGCTCTCTGGTCACTCAGAACCCCATCTGTGGCTCTCTGGTCACTCAGAACCCCATCTGAGGCTCTCTGGGTCCATTAGAACCCCATCTGTGGCTCTCTGGGTCCCTCAGAACACCATCTGTGGCTCTCTGGTCACTCAGAACACCATCTGTGGCTCTCTGGTCACTCAGAACCCCATCTGTGGCTCTCTGGTCACTCAGAACCCCATCTGTGGCTCTCTGGCTCCCTCAGAACCCCATCTGTGGCTCTCTGGTCACTCAGAACCCCATCTGTGGCTCTCTGGTCACTCAGAACCCCATCTGTGGCTCTCTGGTCACTCAGAACCCCATCTGTGGCTCTCTGGTCCCTCAGAACCCCATCTGTGGCTCTCTGGTCACTCAGAACCCCATCTGTGGCTCTCTGGTCACTCAGAACCCCATCTGTGGCTCTCTGGTCACTCAGAACCCCATCTGTGGCTCTCTGGTCACTCAGAACCCCATCTGTGGCTCTCTGGGTCCCTCAGAACACCATCTGTGGCTCTCTGGTCACTCAGAACCCCATCTGTGGCTCTCTGGTCACTCAGAACCCCATCTGTGGCTCTCTGGTTCCTCAGAACCCCATCTGTGGCTCTCTGGGTCCCTCAGAACACCATCTGTGGCTCTCTGGTCACTCAGAACCCCATCTGTGGCTCTCTGGGTCCCTCAGAACACCATCTGTGGCTCTCTGGTCACTCAGAACCCCATCTGTGGCTCTCTGGTCACTCAGAACCCCATCTGTGGCTCTCTGGTCACTCAGAACCCCATCTGTGGCTCTCTGGTTCCTCAGAACCCCATCTGTGGCTCTCTGGCTCCCTCAGAACCCCACCTGTGGCTCTCTGGTCACTCAGAACCCCATCTGTGGCTCTCTGGCTCCCTCAGAACCCCATCTGTGGCTTTCTTGGTCCCTCAGAACCCCATCTGTGGCTCTCTGGGTCCCACAGAACCCCATCTGTGGCTCTCTGGTCCCACAGAACCCCATCTGTGGCTCTCTGGTCACTCAGAACTCCATCTGTGGCTCTCTGGTCACTTAGAACCCCATCTGTGGCTCTCTGGGTCACTCAGAACCCCATCTGTGGCTCTCTGGTTCCCTCAGAACCCAATCTGTGGCTCTCAGGCTCCCTCAGAACCCCATCTGTGGCTCTCTGATCACTTAGAACCCCATCTGTGGCTTTCTTGGTCCCTCAGAACCCCATCTGTGGCTCTCTGGTCACTCAGAACCCCATCTGTGGCTCTCTGGGTCACTCAGAACACCATCTGTGGCTCTCTGGCTCCCCCAGAACCCCATCTGTGGCTCTCTGGGTCACTTAGAACCCCATCTGTGGCTTTCTTGGTCCCTCAGATCCCCATCTGTGGCTCTCTGGTCACTCAGAACCCCATCTGTGGCTCTCTGGGTCACTCATAACACCATCTGTGGCTCTCTGGTTCCCTCAGAACCCCATCTGTGGCTCTCTGGGTCACTCAGAACACCATCTATGCCTCACAGGTGGAGAGAAGGGGGGGGGGGAGGGAAGACAAGGAGAAAACAGAGAAATAACCAGAGCACTAATGAACTAAGGAAGGAACTCGGCGCCTCAAGATATTTCCACATAAATATGGAGCCGGAGAGAGAGAAGAAAACTCTAAAAAGTGTACTTGAGGCGTCTTAAACTGAGAGGTGTGTGAGGCCGCCATGTTGTGGTGGGCCCCAGCCCCCCCTCCCCCTTCCCCAGCCCCCCCTCCCCCTTCCCCAGCCCCCCAGCCCTCCCTCTCCCCCAGCTCTCGACCCCCTCCCCAAACTCCTCCACACTTCTGGGATTGTCTTGGGGTCGTAATGGACTCAGGGAAAACGCGACAGCCCCGAGGTCCTTAGGGGAAACTTCTCAATTTTCACATCATTGATTTTCAAATCGCAGAGGTCGGATGTGCCCGTGTGTTTAGGGCGAGAGAAAGTCGGGTGAGAATGCTAATTTAGGCCGTATGGGGTGAGTGAGGCGGCCTTTGTCGGGCCCACACGCTGCCACCCAACATTCCCAGCCCCGCCAACAGCCTCATTTTACAACTTCTACCATTACTTATTTCGCTGATTTTTTCCTCGCCGGATTACGTATTTCAGGTGGAGTTTGGTCTTGTTTTGGGCCTTTTTCTGGTCGCAAGATTATGTCCGGGCGAGCACGTACGCGCGCGCACACACGGAGTGGTATGGGTTCTGGGCTCGAACCCCGAGAAACCCCGGCTCTTGCCCCGGGCGAGACGAAGCCCGTTGGGCAGGTTTCCTTACACCTGGTGTAGTAAGTATACAGCCGGGAGTTAGAGAACTGTTGTGGCCTGCATCCTGCCCAGTGTCGGTAGTCGGCCCAGCAAGACCTCGGGAAGTGTAAACAGTTTACTCTCCCTCTGTTGAGAACCTTTCCATGACACCCCCCCCCCCCTTACACACACACACTCTCTGGGGGTCCGGCTTAATTAAGCGGGGTCCAAGAGCCGAGCTCGATCCTGCAGGCACAAATAGGTGAGTACAAAGACACAAGAGTCAAGGGACGTCATGACACCACCAACACGGGTTCAGGGATGACAAATCTTGCCTCATGTGTTTAATGGAATTCTTTTGCAGTTTGGAATTTAATGGAAAAGAGAAGGAAGGGGAGGCCGCATTTTCTTGGACTGTCGGAAAGCCTTCGACACAGTACCCCGTAAGAGGCTGGTGCATAAGTTGCATACACAGGCAGGAGTAGCTGGTACATAAGTTACTTATAACGCAAGTGGATAAAAGTATACTTAAGTAATAAAGTTGTTACTGTGAGGGGGAGGGGGAGAGTAAGAGTGGCGTGGAGTCCCACAGGGCTCTGTACTCGGACCTAACCTGTTTCTGATATACGTAAATGATCTCCCTCCGCCACAGCGGACCTGTGGCTGCGTGGACAGGCCTTCGGACTAGTAATCCTAGGGTCCAGGGTCAATCCCCGCGCCGGCTGAAACAGATGGGCAGAGTTTCTTTCACCCTGATGCGCCTGTAATCCGGCAGTAAGAGTCAAGAGGCGGGCCGAAAGAGCAGAGCTCAACCCCCGCAAGCACAACTAGGTGAGGACACAGGTGGAAATTGAGTGCCCAAATGAGCCACAGACACACTAGAAATCTTTTTTTCAGTGTCAGAGTAGTTGACAGGTGGAATGCATTAGGCAGTGATGTGGTGGAGGTTGACTCCATACACAGTTTCAAGTGTAGATATGATAGAGCCCAGTAGGCTCAGGAACCTGTACACCAGTTGATTGACAGTTGAGAGGCGGGACCAAAGAGCCAGAGCTCAACCCCCGCAAGCACAACTAGGTGAGTACACACACACACACACACACACACACACACACACACACACACACACACCAAATACTGTAATAACAAAGGAATACAAGTTAGCCAGAGTGCGTGTGTTGCCACACTCAGAGTGTGTGTGTTGCCACACTCAGAGTGTGTGTGTTGCCACACTCAGAGTGTGTGTGTTGCCACACTCAGAGTGCGTGTGTTGCCACACTCAGAGTGTGTGTGTTGCCACACTCAGAGTGCGTGTGTTGCCACACTCAGAGTGTGTGTGTTGCCACACTCAGAGTGCGTGTGTTGCCACACTCAGAGTGCGTGTGTTGCCACACTCAGAGTGCGTGTGTTGCCACACTCAGAGTGCGTGTGTTGCCACACTCAGAGTGCGTGTGTTGCCACACTCAGAGTGCGTGTGTTGCCACACTCAGAGTGCGTGTGTTGCCACACTCAGAGTGCGTGTGTTGCCACACTCAGAGTGCGTGTGTTGCCACACTCAGAGTGCGTGTGTTGCCACACTCAGAGTGCGTGTGTTGCCACACTCAGAGTGCGTGTGTTGCCACACTCAGAGTGCGTGTGTTGCCACACTCAGAGTGCGTGTGTTGCCACACTCAGAGTGAGTGTGTTGCCACACTCAGAGTGAGTGTGTTGCAACACTCAGAGTGAGTGTGTTGCAACACTCAGAGTGAGTGTGTTGCAACACTCAGAGTGAGTGTGTTGCAACACTCAGAGTGAGTGTGTTGCAACACTCAGAGTGAGTGTGTTGCCACACTCAGAGTGAGTGTGTTGCAACACACTCAGAGTGTGTGTGTTGCAACACTCAGAGTGAGTGTGTTGCCACACTCAGAGTGAGTGTGTTGCCACACTCAGAGTGAGTGTGTTGCCACACTCACAGTGAGTGTGTTGCAACACTCAGAGTGAGTGTGTTGCAACACTCACAGTGAGTGTGTTGCAACACTCAGAGTGAGTGTGTTGCCACACTCAGAGTGCGTGTGTTGCCACACTCAGAGTGAGTGTGTTGCCACACTCAGAGTGAGTGTGTTGCAACACTCAGAGTGAGTGTGTTGCAACACTCACAGTGAGTGTGTTGCAACACTCAGAGTGAGTGTGTTGCCACACTCAGAGTGAGTGTGTTGCAACACTCACAGTGAGTGTGTTGCCACACTCAGAGTGAGTGTGTTGCAACACTCAGAGTGAGTGTGTTGCAACACTCACAG